CTTCTGCACCTTGCCAGGATGTATCAGTTGCTTCCTGTGTGTGCTGTACTTCCAGAACAGGAAGGTGAGGCTGTGCTGGACATGACTCTGGCGAGAGAGTTCAAGATCATGGGCAATGGAGCAGCTGCCCCTTGAAGCAGAAGCATTGCCAAGTCATCTTCCTGCACATTCCAGTCGGGGACTCCATCCTCAAGAGATGGGGGGGAAGGGCTTCTCCAGCAAGTGGTCCCGTCAGGTCTCAGGGACCCATGCCTTTTAACAGGGACTTTGGCATTACAGGTCAATAGAAATAGTGCATTTGGACTCTATGCTCTGCCACCCTAGTCAACAGGGCTGTAACTCATCTTCAACATGGTCTCTGTGACTACAGAACATGACAGACTCCTGGACAGAGTCTGCTCTTTCTGTGATCAAGACAGTCAGTTTTATAGGAGACAAAATAAATGTGGATGGAGCCTGATCTCTCCTCTGAGCCAGCGCAGGACTGTAGGAGCAGCTGAGCCAATGTGAGAGGCACAGAAACTGGACTCTATAGATATTTTGCACCTTTATTCCTTTTTGTCATCTGTGCTGGCTAGAGCAGCAGGGCAGCACTGAACTAAAGTGGACACTCATGTCCAGCTATCACCATTGGGAACACATGTGCTCTGTTTGGTTAGGTGTTTACATTTTTCTGTCCCTTTTCCTAAGACTCTCTTAACCATGATATTAAAAAATATCATATTTTGCCACATATAAGGGAATTGAGCATTCACCTTTTTATTTTCTTATTTGATCCTAATTTATTTTAATTTTTATCAGAGAATGCAATCCATATATAGCAATTTGTGAAATCTACTGAAACTTGTTTTATGACTTAGCATAACAATTCTGTAAATGTCCCATAAATTTTAAAAGGACTGTACTCCCTTGAATTGTCAAACATATGCATACACACACATGCATGCACATGACATGTTTATGTTGCATAGATATTCCATCTTTATTAATTTTTATTTCCTTGATCTAATCCTCCTGAGAAATATGCTAAGGTTCCCATCATGGTAGTAGTATTTCCACTTCCACATCCCACATGATTCCTTCAACTTTTGTTTCATGTGACTTAAGACTATTAAGTATATAGAAGATTAAAACAGGATTTAATTTATCTGTGTATAAATTTGACACTCATATTTTAGTAACTCTATATCATTACTACTGCCTTTATCATAAAGTTCACTTTGTCTCATATTAATATCTGTTTGTTATTGTTTCCTGGTCAACCCTTTTCCATCTGTGTACTTTCAACATTTCTGGGTTCTTATGTTTCAGAATTCCCTAGAAACCTGAGTTTTCAATTTCATCTAATATTTTTCTTAATTGTATAATTTTATTTGTTAAAATTTACTGAGTTTCCTGATATTAGAGATTTTCCTTTATCTCCTCTTCTGTTTTTATTCTGTCCCATTTTATGTCCCTATTCTTTTCCAGTTAATTTCTGTTGTTTTTTATTTGTTTTATTTTTTTCTTTTTCTATTAGTTTGAAACTTTTTTTAACCTTATTTATATTGTATTTGTGGTTTTCATTTACATTTTAACATTTAAAATTCATTTCACAATATGAATTTTAAAAATTAATTTTGGCTTAAAAAGGGGACATGGCAACATATTAACTTTGGTAGTGATATTCCTAAATATGCTAAATTCATATGCAAAATTTGAGCCATTTCCGTTTTTAAGTTCCACAAAAAAATGAGAGATTTGTTGAAGTGCCTGGAGTGTAGGTCTTCCCCTTTATCCACATCCAGGTTCCTGGAGATGCGTTTGTTACAATGATGACCTACCATCATTGATGACACATTGATGCCTTTGTTACAATGATGACACATCACCATCACCCAAGGTCCACAAGGTCCACAAGGTTCATGGCAAGGTTCACCCCTGTGTTGTGCACTCTGAATTTGGATAAGTGTGTAATGACAAGTGTATAATGACGTCTTGATTTTGTCATACAAAACAACGACAAAACCCTAGAAATCCTCCATGCTGGGACTATTCCTGTCTCCCTCCCTGCAAATCTTCCATCTCTGATTTTTAAATAGTCCAGGGGACAGTGAGCTCCTCAAAGACTAAGCAGGGTGACTTCCTCAGTTAATTCATTATTGTGTCGCCTAGACCAGAGCCCGGCTCTCAGGGCTGCATGAAGCATGCACAGGATGGAACTGAAATGGAGTCTGCTTTTCTCCCTGCCATCAGCTCCCAGTAGCACCACAGTGGATTCAGCCTGATTAACCACTTATGAGGTGTCGGAAAAATCACCAAACACATTTCATTTGCAAGATTGCTCTATTTGAAAACTCTCAACTTCCCATTACCATGGAAACCACAAAGATTTGACTGTGAATTACAGTTTGAGATTTTTTACTCAGCTGGTTGTATATAATTAACTTTTGTTTTAGCATATTTCTTGATATGCCAGAAAAGACTGCTATCATACTCACAAGCCCAACTGTACTCTCATATTTTGAAAGGTGTAAGCTCTGAAGTGGTCACCAGGAGATCTGGAGTCTTGTTCTAACTCTAGTACAGATTTGAAAAGTGTACTTTTACTTGGCCTAACATCACTCACAGTGGTGGCTCGGGAAAGAGAGTGGTTCAAGAATTAAAGTGCTTTCCAGCTCAAAAATCCTGTGAATCCATTTTAATGATTGCAATTGTCTTCACTTTCAGATTACAAACACATGCAACACTAAGTATTTTGAAGTAAATGATCCCATCACAAAAGCCTAAATACTCTTTTTGATCAGGTTAGCTTGCCCTTCTCACTGGGGCATATAAAAGGACATTTTAAAGTATTTATGTTGGCTCAATAGATAAGCCAAAGTCTGCAGTACTAAATCTATCCCCAATATAAAAACATCAACAATAATAATGATAGAATAATAAAACTGCCACTTATTAAGTACCTATGCATGCCAGGCACCGAGCAAGGCACACTGCAATAAGATAAGGAAATGACTGTTGAAAGTAATTATTAATATCCATTATCATAAAAAATAAGGTTCAAAATTAACTAGCCATCCCAGAGCTCAAGGGTTAGAAAATGGTGAAACCAGACTTGAACCCCCATTTCTTGAAACCTTTGCTCTATCATTTTCCTCTATGGACTCACCACATGGCCAAGAGGAACATGATAGTTTTACTGACATTTTGTGAAATTATTTTCCCTTGATTTTCTGATAACCCACTTCAAAGAGCAGCAATTGATATTCCAACCAAAAATTTATAATAATATTGAAAACTTTTATTTTCAAATTTTGTCAGTCATTGCTCATGAGAAAAAAAATCAAAAAGAAGTTTCCTTCCAAAAAAGCTTTCAGAATATCAAAGACTGGGAAGTATGGTACTTATCAAGGTACTAAAGGGTAACATGATGATACCAATGAAAAAACTTGTTCCACATATTTATGTGTGCATGTGTCCATAAGGGTGCATACATGTTTGTGTGTATACTTTATGGTTGTTTTTATCTTGTTTCTGATCCACAATCTAATAGTCCAAGAAAATTTTCATTATAGTGTTTCAGATTGCTCATAACCTTGTGCTGATTCAAATCTGACACTCAATGACAATTCTGTCAAAGATCAGTTCTGTGGTTTAAATGCAACAGAAATAAGAGCTACCAATCAAAAGCCACAATAACTAAATATCCACAAAACTGACCCAGCAGAAAACCTGTAAGCTCTGACTTTGGTTGGAAAGATAATCATATATGACCTAGTATTTTTCTCCCCAACATCACACTAAGAAGCTGGACCAAACATTAACATAGTTCATAGCAACTCCATGCCATATCCATTGGATAACCCAGCCCATTAAAGTCTCTGCCTGAGAGAGCTGAAGCATGCTGGGCAAATTTACCCTTTATTCCAGCAAATACCTGATGATACGACCTTTTATTAAATCTCTTACTAAAATGAGCTACATCTTTGGATCCTTCTCTTTCCCTTTCACATTTACAGTTGGGCCCCAGATGGTTCAACTTGGGAATTTTTGACTTTAGAATAATGCAAAGCGACAAACATTCAGTATAAACCTGCTTTGAATTTTGAATTTTGATATTTTCCTGGGCTGGCAAAATGCTCTGTAAATGCTAAGCAAAGGCATGGAGGTACAGCCCCCAGTCAGAAATTGATGGCCCTGTCACCGCAGCATCCTCCTCGTCTCGGTGCTTCAGGGACTGTTCAGCTCTGTATGTTCAGCTGTGCAAGGGGCAAGGATCCACAGAAGCCATTCTGTGCTTCACTTTCCGTATAGTATTCAATAAGTGACACAAGATCTCCAATACTTCATTATAACATAGATTTATGTTAGATACATTTTCCCCACTGTAGTGAGTAATGTCAGCATGTTAGTCTAGCCTGTGCTTGATGCTTAGTAGCTTAGGTGTGTATTCACAGCACTTTTGATCTAATGATCTTTTCAACTTATGATATAACTTCATCGTAAGTAGAGGAGCACCTGTGTACAGGTATAGTATGTCTTTCCAAGGACACGAGAGCCATTCCTTTGAAATATCCTGACCCCAGCTTCTTTGGGGTCTCAGAGCCTAGCTCCCTTAATACGTGGACTGGCAAACCCAGAGCTTTCACGTGGACTGACTTCTTTCCAATTTTGTCACTTTTCAGTTCCCTTGCTCCACTGAGCCCAGAGGTTCTCCCTATCTGCTCCCTCCTCCTTCTAAAATGTCCCCTTATTTCCTTAAAAATCAGGATGGACCTTGGCTTTTCCTCCTGGACAAAACCGGTGCTCACCACTTTGACTAACGCGGGGCTGGATTCACCTCTGACGCTGCCTATGGTCCAGCTCCTTGCAGGCCCCTTCCCATCGGCCTTTGTGCTTAGCCCTGGGCACCAGCTCTGCGCTCCTGGCAGGTGGTTTCTGATGCATCCCTCCCTTTTGCAACTCAAAGTTCAATATCGATCTTATGTTTCTGCACAGCCCTTCTGACATGCCAGGCAGAGAGCAGCAATAGCCCCTCTCCCTTGTGACCCTACTTTAATTCTCTGCATTGTGCTCCCATTGTCTGGTCGTTTCTTTACCTGTGATTTCTTCTTGGCTAATTTGTTTTCTGCCTAGGACCACAAAACTGTAAGTCCTGTAGGAGACCCAAATGAGATATTAAACAAAGACTTATTGAATGAATGACAGACAAGTCTACATTTCAGGAGTTCCCTTCCACTGTTCAGAGACCTTAGAACTAACTCCCACTTCTTTTTCCACCTCTACCTTTCACAGGCTATTTTAGCAACTGTATCCTTTATTTAAAATCCCAAAAGCTATAGGTGGAATTTCCCAGGCACCTGGAATGGGGATCAAGGGATCACAACCCACATGTTCCTACCACTAAGCTGCTGTGGCTGCCCAGCTGTATTCCGGTTTCCCATGGCCTTGCTCCCAGGGAACAAATATCAGCTCTGTCTACCACCTGTCTGCATGCTTTCCCAATCTGCTTCCTGAACTCCTATCTTTTTTATTATTATATGACTTCCATTTATTTTACAAAAGACTGTGGCTTTCTCTCTTCCTGTCTTTCCCTGATAAGCATTCTGCTAAATGAAATACAATGAGCCTATTGGTGCAAATTACTGAGCAGATAATGTTGCCTGACATTAAGGTCAATGGTGTTGTTTGCAGAGGGAAGGTAGTTAAATTTAAACAAAAGATCGTTCAAATTAGAGAGCCTGCAAGTTATTGGCTGGGCACAAAGGGTAAAATTATAAATATGCTAATATGTCTTGCTATCATAATATGACTTTGTTGTGAATAAAATATTGAGAAATTATAATTATATTAAATATAGTAGACATGGTGCTTTTCAAATGCATATCTGATATTTGACTGGGTTTTGAACTTTTAGTCTGACAGCCACAATTGAGAAAGAAGAAAAACACAGCACAAGAATGACTGATTCTGCCATCATCACCTTTATAAAATGGTAAAGTACAAAATGCCTCTTTTTTAAAATTTGGGATCTTTAAAAAAAAACTTTTGAATTCAGTTCATGATGAAATCATTCTGGAGTCTGCATGAGTTTTTTTTTTTATTATTTTATTTCTGTTCATTTGTTTTTCATTTGATTTTGACTATACAGTGTACATACTCTTTACAAGAGGGGGAAAACTCCCTATTTTGAGGGATTGTTGACAGGGAGGCAATCCTGTGGATTTTATACTGGGGTGATCATAAACTCATGCTGCTAATTGTCTGTGAATATTAATTACAAATTAACATTTATTGGTTAAATATGGCAATTGGTCTTAAATAAAAATGACACATCTCAGATGCATTTCTTTCTACATAATTTTTCCAATGGTAGGTAAAATAGAAGCATCTGAGATTTAAAGTCCCTGCAGCATGTTACTGTCCTATGCTTCCTACAGGATCCACAGAAGAGGAGGGGGAAGTGCTCATCAGCCTCTTCATACTCTAGGCATGGCTCATGGATGCAGCTTCATCTGCAGCAGAAAACCCTTTGACTTGGGCTATACGGAAGTTTTCGTGAAGGGTCATCATGGAGAAAAGGATGTGATAGGGTGGAGAGGTGCTCGAGAAGGGTCTGAAGGATGCCTAAGATTTAGACAGACAGGAAGTTGGTAATCTGGGGAAGGAGACAGGCATGGACAATGACAATAGCCATAGCCACCCTTTACTGAGCACTTGCCATGGGGCAGACACTGCACTAGCATAGCACATCGGCTCATCCTATTCTCACAGAGACTTCTATTCCCAGCTTGCCTGAGGACACTCTGAATAACCCTCTATGCGACAGACTTGCCCTATGTCATATGGAGGATCTGAACCAAGATCGGATTCCAAAAACCTTCCCAGAACAAATGACCCTCACAGGAAATGCTGATGGCACAGGACTTAATGGAAGAAAGTGCAGAAAGAAGGCATGGGAAAGAATTTGGGGACAATCAACCAGATGCTTTACTGGTTTACCAATATTTCTAGTACTGATGTCTTAATGGCCTCATGCATTTTCTATTCAGAAACACTGGGAAATTGTGCTGTCAATGGCATGATTCCCATGTGACCTCTGGATCAAACTAGAAACTAAAAACCAAGTTCCAGAATAAAACTCTAATCAATATTGCTGTTAGCATATTTACCAAACAAAGAGCCCCGTGGAAAATGGATGCTTGTTATCTTGCTGGGTGACCTCCACTCCGTAGCCCTTTCCTGGACAGGGGAGTTAATCTCCTACTTCTCTACATGTCATGTGGTGAGAACACTTGCCTGTATCCTTCTCAGGGAATCACCCTTGTCCAGCCAGAGCCATTTCCTGGGGTTTCCCTCAGCCAAGGATGCTTGATGCATTTGAGAGGAAAGGTCACCCTTTTCTGCAAATTTATTGACACCCCAAGTCCTCTCTGAAGATCACATCTGAAGCCACAGCCTTGTTTGGCCATCTACTGCACATATCTGGCCTCATGAAGGTGTTCCCCATTAGCAACCCTGAAGTCAGTTCCATGCATCATGACCCCTGTCTGCAACTGCATCCAAGGAGCCTGACCTGAGGCCACCATCCTCTGGGAATTTGTGGGAATTCCTATGCTCACAGAGGTCAGAAACAGATTAAGGATTCTTCCTCTCAGTCTTCCATGACAATGTTGACCTTGACCTAAGCCTTGAGGTTCTGGCAAACAGCCACAATTAAAGTTCTTACCCTTTTGTATTGCAGGCAACCCTCACTATAAAGATCACCCTCTTTATGAAATGACTCAAATGAAACTCATGAATTATCCCATATGGTTTAGATATGCTGTATCCCCCCAAAGCTCATGTGTGAGGCAATGCAAGAATATTCAAGGTGAAAGGAGTAGATTATGAGAGATGTAATCTAATCAGCAGATTTATTCACTCATATGGATGAACTGGGTGGTAATGGTAGGCAGGTAGGGTGTGGCTGGAGGAAGTAGGTCACTGGGGACAGGCCTTTGGAGTTTATGTTTTGTTCCTGGTGAGCAGAGCTGTCTTTCCACTTCCTGGCTATCATGTCCTGAGCCACTTTCTTCTGCCGTATGCCCTTCCATCACAAGGTTCTGTCCGGCCTTGAGCCCAGAGCTATGGTCAGCTGGTCACAGAATGAACTCTGAAACCATAAAACAAAATAAACTCTTCCTCTTGTAAGTTGATCTTGTTAGGTCATTTGATCACTGTAACATAAAACTGACTAAAACAGACCCTAATATTTACGTAGGACAATATTTTACAGAGTCCATGGATGCTCTGAATTCTCACTCTGTGCCTTTTCAATCAATGATGAGCTGAACTGCTTGTCCCCACAGACCAACCTGTTCAAAATACCCGACAATCACCTTGACCAAACTTGACTCAGGTTTCTCTCCTGCTTTGGCCAACTCTTGATCTACAGTAGGTATTAGAATGCATACATAGGAACCTTCTAGACAGCCCTGTTAGAGAACTGACTGGCCTCACAGGTAGCCTTGAGCTGCTCACCTGGGGGAACATGCCCCTGCTCACAGCAAGCCACTTCTCCACAGGCCTCAAGGACTCCTCCTTAGAAAAAAGACCTTCTTTCTGCCTGATCTTTAGATATGCAGAGTTGCTAAGGTCAGCATTTTCTCCCTGTTGTAAACCTACCTTTGACCACCATTGCAATAAATTACCTACTTACTTGAATCCAGATGTCTGGAGTCTGCAGACACTCTGACTTTTGAAGTGGGAAAACAGAAATGCAGACAGGGCCCCCCAAAGTATGCTTGCTCGGATGAGGAGTAGTTAGTTGGGCAGCTGGGATGCTCTTTCCCCAACCACTCTGAACCAAAAATACTATAAACAAAGATTTGTGATAAGTTCTGCTCCAGAATGTTCTGGGAATATGTCTGAAAAATATTGGATCCAAGTTTTCCACATTTCTCTTCTGAATTATCCCCATTTCTTATTTGCTACGTGAAGTTGTGAGGGACAGCTTGGGTGAGGCCAATTGCATTTCTAAGAAAGGCCTCTGAGGATCATGAAGTAGCCTTTCCATGATTTATAGCCAGGGACATCAACCAGAGCCCTAAATCATTTAGTCAAGGGCTGACAGTCAATAGGTGGTGTAGGAAAGTACAAAGCTCTTGACTCCTAACAGTGTTTTCTTTTAATACCAGGTCACTGACCTGGGACTATGTGGGCTTTGGAGGGACACAGGCATATTACTGCCTGGCTTCATGCTGACGACTGGCAGAGAGGCCTATGGAAACACAGTTGCAGGAAGATGCCCCACCTGGCCTGTGAGTGGAGGATGGGGCCAACCCACGAAGTGCCCACTTTCTCAACCACTCCACCTCCCTTTTTACTTGCTCCTTTGAAGGTTGCTGCCTACAATAAATACCAGGGCTTTATGCACACAATAGAGGCCCAAGTAAATGGAAAGGATCATTTTTTCTTAACATGTACTGAGGAGTATTCAGTCAGAAAAAGCAAATCAGCTCCAGGGATTTCAGACAAGTTGGCCTCACACACCCTTTGGAAGAATGGGAGAATTGTGGCTCGGAGAAAGTCCAAACATTGGGAACAGCAGAAACCATTGACACAAATAAACGATTCTCAGGAGCACGGTTCAAAGGTATCACCAGATTTCCTGATTCTCCCACCATGGTGCCCATCCACCTGCCTAGAGCTGCCATTGGAGAATCATAACTTCCTCTACATCATTACAAGTACTCTATGTTGGTGGAGTCCAAACCACATCTTCCCAGCAAGGGGCCTGGCAAGTGTAATCCCCTGGATTCAGGACACATCCATCAAAGGAACTCTTAGAGGAAAGAAGGATAATATTGAATCCTATATTTTTTTTTCACAGAAGGAGGTAAATCCTGGCCATCTTCTTCTTTGAATATCTTCCTCTTCTCCCTTTGCCATACTAGTTCCCTAAAGCATGCAGTCTCCCTCAGATAAAGCTGGATGGAGCCCTGGAGATGGGGCACTGGAGATAGGAGTCTGGGTTAAGGTCCAACACCCCACATCTCAGTACCATCATCATTAAAGCATGGATAATACATGCTCCTGCTTCATGGGCTTGTTGCAAAAATTAAATTATAACTGTGTAGAGCACTTAGGTTTCCTGCCAGCCTATAAGCCATCCATAAATGAGTATCATTAATGCCACCTCTCCAGAACTCAGCAAGCTCAGTATTCCTGAGAAACCATGCAAACAACTCAGATGTTTTCATATCCTTCCAAGAAATCCTCTGCATTTGGGAGCTGGCCCTACTCATTAAGAAATTCTTACTTTATATAGAAAACTGAGTTCCTTTAGGATACTAAGATATGAATCTTAGTCCAATTTCCTGGAGCCACTTGGAGCAAGTACACCATCTCCCTCAAAATAGGGTTTGTAGCAGCTGAAAGCAGCTTTGATGACTCCCCTTTGTGTCTTCTTCAGGCTAAACCAGAGCAAGCTCCCTCTACCATTCTCCATGGATGCAACCCAGCGTCTTGCAATGGCATTAACAGTATTAATTATCAGCTTATTGATTTTCCGGGTTATTCTGATCAATGAATGTAGAGGAAACAGAGAGTAACGGTATAAAATATAAGGTACAGACTGTGAAGAAATCCAAGTGAAATAAATGCAAAATGAGGAGGTCCCAAAATAAATGGGAAGAATGATTAGTTTCAGGGACAGGGTCAAGAATGTGTCACATAAAGCTAAATAATTGTTAGGGCAATGGGGTGGGATTTCCTTCAGCCTTTGTGGAGATGTAAGGTAGGCAACATCCACACTGAACTACCATTGCTGAAGGCAAAACATCACTCACCAGAAACAGGCTTGTAAAAAGCAGAATATCTCTCAGCAAAGCCATTTGTCTCTTTCATATCTCCAATATGGATTTTTCAGTAGCTTTAGATATGCCAGTCAAGCAGAAGGGAACATAAAAATAAACTGAACTTAACTGTGTTCTCTGTCCCATATTAAACACTAAAACTGAATTATGTTTCCACATATTCCCGCTTGCCCATAATCACTTTTATTTATGACGTGCATCTAGGAAAGGAGTCCAAAATACATAAAATACTTTAAAAGAATTAAATAGACGAAAAAATTATTAGATTTATATCATTATTATTACTATAAATTTTTATATTTATATTTTAAATTTTATATAAGTCAAAGGAGTTTTCCCATGTAATTAATGTCCCTGCCTAATGAAATCACAGAAAACAGTCATCATTCCCAGACTTAATAGAGTCTTCCTTCCAAGCACAATCTGAATAAGCAATGGAAACTCACTATAATAAAACACATCAACTAGGCCAAGCCCTTGGCATTTAGAGAAGCAGCCAGAGCCTTGGTCCCTGTGAACTGTAAAGGGTGTGGTGTTTTCTTCCCATCTTGCTCATTTGCTTTACTTATTAGTTTGTTAATTCATTTGATTTCTTCCCCCACATGGAAGAATGTTCTGGAATTCTCTATTAAGTGTCAATCTCTGACAGTAGCAGAACCCTTCCATGAAATAATTAGATGTTGAAGACTATCATATGCAAGTCTCTAAAATTCAGCATACACCATTCATTTTTAACTCTAAGAAGCCAAATGTCAAGGCACTGAATAACATTTCTTCCAAAGGCAGTGCTCCACAATGTCAGGATTTATGGGCATAATATGTGCATTCATTGAGTACCCAGCAGTTGTACCAGGCAACTCCAAGCTCTACAGAATTCAGCGCTCAGAGATTGGAGGGACACCAATGCCTACTTTCTAAGACATTTCAAGGTACTAAACATATTATGTGGGTCAATATGCTGTTGACAATAATACACAAATGGAAATAGAATTTCTAATAAAAATAAAATTGAATACCTACTACTTTTCTTCCTTATGAATCATTAAGCAGAAGAGTTTTAGAATCCATTTGCCTGGGATGGGTATTTCTATTTTGACTTATCAGAACTGGCTCTCATTGAACTTGACTCCCATAAAAAAAAATTTTAAATAAAGGTAGTGAGAAGACAATGGTTTCACATAGAACTTTGTCTACCAGCTTTCAGTGAAATTTTATGTTTGACTCATAATGCATCTGAAATAACTTCCTTCCTGGTGCACTGATACAGCCAATTCCTTTGCTTTTGCTATTGGCAATTAAGATTTTGGTTTCTTATTGAGAGTTGTTGACCATTTATTATTTGATGGTCTTTGATTATGAGGGTTTTCAACTGCAGCAAATGTCTGTCATTCTATTTTTTATAATGTTCATTGAGATGATTTTGGAAAGTCTGGATTTCTTTCTCACTTAAATGAAATTTCTTCCAAAGTTGTGACCTTTATTCTACATGATTATCTTCCCCAAGAATAAAGAGTTGTGGCTCAGTCAAAGTTGGGTGAGAAAGCAATCCACCCTGGAGGACACATATGAGACAGAACAACTTAAAAGGGCAATGAGTCTCCACTTAAAATCCATGGATCATATTCCCAGCTCCAACCCTCCAGAGCTATGTAACTGGAATTCACCATCTCTCAGGACCTCCTGGTACTTGTCTTTGAAATGAAGCCTTGGGGATAAGTTTTCATATATGTCCCTTTCCATCTGTAAAATTATAGGCACTTAACTTTGAAGTGACTTTAAATTCTTAGGTTAGACTTGGCCATGGATCTGCCCCAAGATGGAGTAGACAGGACCACAGCAAAGCCTGGCCTGAGTCCTTGCCTATGCCCAAGGACATGAGGAAGTCTCATTACACAAAAGACATCTCGGAGAAGGACATCAGGATATCTAGTTACACAAAAGATATTTGGGAGAAGAAAAAGAACGACTGATAAGGCTTAAGGAAGATGGTGAGTGGAGTATTATGATGTGGATAATAAGTGGAATAACTACAAAAATTCTACTTGACCTGAATCTCTCTTTATCATTTTGTCAGAAATACTGATTTTGCGCTCAAGTTCTTGTTCAATAAATATAGGTGATTTTTAGCTAAATTGTAGATGTTAAAACTTTCAAGAAATCCCTCAACATATAAAATATAAATAAACCCAGTAAAGTATATTCTAATTCATTGGTGTAAGCACATAAAATAGAATACTTCTAACTACTTAGAGGAGGAAAGATGAATGTGAAAGACATTATGAGGACTAAATATGTAATTGGCATAAACCCCCAAAATTGTGTATTGTGTTAACAAAAAGTTGAAATGCTTTATCCCCGCCATTAGAATCATCGAATATTCCTAAAATTAATGACAATCTTTTCTGATGGAGCCTACTAAGTAATAAAGTAGCACTTTCAAAGATCCTGTGCCAGAGATGTTTTGCTCCCCAGCTTTGCATGGAGGAGTGTTAGGTAATAGGAGGAATGAACACCTCTGCCAATTTTAAGTCATGGAACTTGAAAAAGTATCTTTTGCTTATTATTCAAAAATAAATTATAATATCTGCCCTTATTGCTTTTTAAAACTATTAAGTGAACCCACGGTCCTTTACACATGAAGTATTCATAGAATAGGAATAAAAAAAAACAACTGCAGTTATGCTGCATCTTCTAGATGTTTGAATCATTGGTTTCCTATACATTCCCCTCACTGACTCTTGTTTTCCTACGTCCTCACTAAAGTTTCCTCTGCAACAAGTTTATGTACCATCGCAGAACTCTTGGACCCCATCTGATCATCCAGTTGTTCAATGGAGCTTGCTGACTGACCCTGCTGGTGCCAGGTCTCCTTACTGCTCTGGTCTTTCCCTGGGGAGAGAACAGTCCTCAGCAGGACCTCAAGTGCACCTGTGATATACCACTTCAGCTGTCGCATCCGTCTCAAACCTGCCTGGATACCACAAACTTCATCCCCCGTGACTAATTGGAAGGCTATGCTGAACAAAACCAGTGGGAACTGAGGAAAGGGGCCAGAGGCAGATGGAGATGGTCCGGGCATGTCTAGCCCTTTCTCCTTTTAAATAATCGCAGTCACTCCACATAGACTTTCCAGAAATATCTATTAGCCCTGAATAACCAGTATGTGGGTCTCTTCAGAATGCTTCTAACTCATCTCTCTTTTTCCTCATTACTGACTTCCTAGGATTTCAAGTCCCCACTGTAGAGAGCCAATGTGCAACCAACTCCATGTTCTCAGGAGACAAAGCTAAAGTAAGTTTGTACAAAGAATGGCCCTAAAAACAGACTATAAGAATATGAGTTATGGCTGAGAAAGCTTTTTCTACCCAAAGATCACAAAGATATTCTCCTGTTTCCTCCTATGAGTTCATATTACTAGGTAACACTGAGGTCCACTTTGATTTCTAGTTACTTTTTGACGTACTGTGAAGTATAGATCAAGGTTCTGTTTCTTAAAATATATGGATGTCTAATTGTTCCAGCACAATTTGTTGAAAATACGTCTTTGTCACTGAATTGCTTTTGTGCCTTCCTCTAAAGTCATCTGTACATAAATGTGGGTCTATTTCCAAACTCCCCACCCTTTTCTGTGGATCTTTTGGTCTCTTTGAGGCCAAGGCCATGCTGTCTTGATTACTACAGCTGTAACAGTAATTCTCGGAACCAAGTAGAGTTAGTCTTCCAATCTATTTCTTTTTTAAAGTTGCTTCAGTTATCTAAGCCTCTTGCCTTTCCAAATTTTAGTATCATTTTGACAATTTCTACTAAAATCATGTTGAGATTTTCTTTGAGGATACATTGAGCCCATAGCTCAATTTGAGAAGAATTGTCCTCCTAACAATATATTTTCTGATCATTGAAACAATTCAAATTAAAAATAAAATTAGTATACTGAACTTTATCAAAATTTAAACCTCTGCTTTTCAAAACACGCCATTTAAAAAAAGGAAAACATAAACCACAGATTGGAACAAAGTATTTGTGAACTTTTTATTTGATAAAGAACTAATAAAAAATATGTAAAGAACTTTCAGAACCAAATAATAATAAAATAAACAACCCATTATTTAAGCAGGCGAAAGTTTTGAACATAAGCTCCACCAAATATGATATACTAATTGCAAATAATCACAAAAATAAAGACTCATCATCCTTAGTCATTTGGAAAATGTAAATTAAAATACAAACTAGAACACCAGACACATGTCAAAATGCAAAAATGTGGAGCACCTGGAATGCTTGTGTATATTGCTTAGGAATGGAAATAACACAGCCATTGTGGACAATAGTTCAGAAGCTTCTTAAAATGTTAAACATATACCTGCCAAAAGATGGAGCCATCTCACTTCTTAGGTATTTACCCACAGAGATGGAAGCTGATGTCCATCATAAGACTTGCCCATGAATATTCAAAACAGTTTTGTTTGTAACAGACAAAAATATGAATAAGTTTAAATGTCCATCAACAGAGGAATGGATAAGAATATTGTGGTACATTCATACAACGGAAAAACAACTCGACAACAAAGAGTTATTATTGATACATAAAAACAGAGCTGCACACAGTCCCAGAAGTCTGTGACTGGTCCTGGAACCAGTGACCGCCCAGGATGGCTAGGGATCCCTGGGTAGCATTTTCACAGAGGACTTAGCTTTCCTCATATGCTCTTAGGTGGAAAACTACAGAAACTTGGCAGAAGCCACAATATGAGCAGTGATAGGTGTACCGTGTCTAGAGGTTGAAGCTATGGCAGCCCAGGCTCCTCCGAAATCTTCTCAGACAAGAAAATGGGTGGATCATTAGCTCAAGATGTGAACACTCCTAGCGTGCCCTAGAATCTCCATATCAAGAACAACAATGACAGTTTTAATCAGTCATATTATAAGTCAATTATTTTAAAACTGTAGACAGTTCAGTAACTAAGACCCACGCTATGCATCCTGCAGAACAGGGCTGGCCTTTGCATGTGTGTTTTGTTTGATGTGGGTTTGGTGGTTGTTTTCTCTTTTTAATTGTTCTTCTTATAAATTGTTTCCAAATCTGTTTCTCAATAAGTGAATAAACCACCAACTTCAATGAAGCAAACAAAAGGAAAAGTCAACTCAGATGCCAGAGGAAACCATAGGAAAAGATCTGACGGTAAGAGCTGAATACATTTTATGACAGAACTAAGTCTTCAGCAAACATAAAGATTAGGATGGCAATTAAAAATGCAAAAGCCATAAGCCCTAAGAAAGTCACAAGGAATCAACTAACAAACTGGTAGAGGAAGGGAGAAAATATGGGGAATAAGGAGTGTTAGGTTTCAAGAGCTGCCTTGACAAAGGACTGCAGACTGGCAGGCTTAGGCAAGAGGGATTGTCCCACGTTTGGAGGCTGAAATGGGGGGCAAGATGTCAGCAGGGTTGGGAAGATGGATCTGTGCGCACCTTTCTCCTTGGCTTGTAGATGACTCATTTCCATATCTTCACAATATCTTCCCTCTGTGTGGCTCTTCCCAAATCCCCACCCCCCTTTAAAGCACACTGTCAAGGAATCTGCCAAATCTGCCAAATCACTTCATCTTGAACACCATTGGAGCCACATTCTGAGATCCTAGGAGTGAGGATTCGAATTTCAGGGGACACAACTCAGCCTATCTCATACATATTGCTTTATTTGTAATACCCAGGTGTCTAAACTATTATTCAAAATAGAAAAATCCAATAGTAGAATTTTTGCATATTATATATGATGTATTTTTAAAATTCAGGTTTCTAGAGGAATAATTAACATACTGTAGTATTTGTCGTTCAATCATATAATTCAATTATTTTGTCAAGTGCATGCAACACCACATAGTTGAGATGTAGAACAGTTGGTTTCCCTGTCCCTTTAGCTCCTCTGTGTCTCTCCATTAATCAGTACCCCCCCCCACCCCAGGCACTGGCAGCTACTCATCTTAGTCACTTCCCTTTATTTTTACCTGTCGAAAAATGTCGCATGAATGAAATCCATTTGTATCGGACTCCTTTCACTTAGAATATCTTAAAATTCATCCCTGTGGTTGTGTGCTTATGGATGTTATTTGTTTTTATTGCTGAGTTTTTATTGTTTTATCACTATATGGATTCACCCTAATTGTCTCATTCATTCACAAGTTGATAGACATTAGGGCTGTTCAGAGTTTTTTTACAGTAATGTGTAAAGTTGCCAGATCAACACTCACACTCGTGTTTTGAGGGCACACATATTTCCATCTCCCCTCAGTGAACACTAGAGTTGAGTCACATGGTAAATTCAAGTATGTTAACTATGATATGAAATGGATTTCTTTCCAGGGTGCCTGCAACTTTGTGCATTCCCACTCTCTGCATCTGAGACTCCCACACCCTCACTGACAACTTGGCTCTCTACACACGTATTCGTTTTCTATTGGTGTTGGAGGAAACTATCGCAATATTAGCATTTTGAATCAACACAGATGTGTAGTCATATTCTTCTGTAGGCGAGAAGTCTGAGGAGGCTTCCACTGGGTTCTTGTGGGTAGGCTGCATCCCTTTCTGCAGGTCTGAGAGGAGAATTAGTTTCCTTGTCACCCAAGGTGGAGTCCCTCTGTTACTCTAGACATCACTTGCCCCTTCTATTACTGCATCCATCTGAGAAGCTCTTTTGCCTTCTTCTCAACTCTTAAGGGCCATAGGATTTCCGTGGTTCCACCTGGACAGTCCAGGATAATGTCCCTGTGATAGGGTCCTTACCATTAAGGTGTGGAATCTTTGGGGGATCCTCACTGTTCTGTCTGTATAACACATACACGTGTCCATCATGAGACATGCTTGGAGGATTGTGCTGGGTCTTCAGCTGAAGTCCTCTAATGACGAATACTGTGTGGTATCATCCAAGTGAAGTTTCTGTTTTGTTTGATTTCGTTTTTTTTTTTTTTGCTATCCTCATCTATTAAAAAATTTTGCCCACTTTTAATTGTTTATTTTGTTATTAGGCAATTATGAGATTTCTTTTTTATATTCTGATTACAAATCTTCATCAAACGTGTTTTGTAAGCATTTTCTTCCTGCCTCAGCCCTGCATTTTAATTTCCTTATTATTTTCTTCTAATTATTATGAAGCCTAATTCATTATTTTTTTTTCTTTTTATTATTTGGTCTTTTCATGTTGTAGCTAATCAATTCATAAATGCTTTTTTCCCCTGTATTTTATTTTAGAAATTCTATAGCTTTGTGTATTTTATTTAGAGCAAGTCTACTTTCTATCATACAAGACATGTGCTGATGTCTGATTTGGAGTCCTTGGGTTTTCAATTGTTCCAGGATCTTTTGTTTAAAAGGCTGTCCCTCACCATTGAGCTATTTTGATATTCTTAACAATCAGTTGAACACACGTGTGGTTAAACCCTGGAATCTCCTTTGTGTCCCTTGATCAATGTCCCCACCTCTACTTTAATTCCACCATTTGTATAGTGTAATAAAACTATAGTTTTATTGGAAAACTCGAGGTCAGGTTAAATAAAGTCTCCAGATTTTTTTCTCCTTTTCAACATGATTTTGGCCATTCTTGGTCAGTTGCTTTAAAATGTACTTTTAAATTTTCAGAACAAAATACTTGTTAGGATTTTGATTGTGGTACCATTGAATCTATATATCAATTGAGGAAAAACTGGCATTGTAACTACTAAGTTTTCCAACACACAAACACAGAATTTCTCACCATTTGGTTCTTCCTTAATTTTTCTCATCAATGTCTTACGAATTTTTTCATACACCCCTTGGTCACATTTGTCAGATTAAACATTCATCCACAGCTTTTGTAAATACTTTCTGTTTCATTTTCTAATAGCTCACTGCTAAATATTATATGTAGAAATATAATTAACTTTTGAATAGTGGTGAATGCACTTAGCAGTCCTGTAGGGTTTTTTTGTTTTGTTTGTTTGTTGTAGGCTGTGGGGTTGCTTACACAGTATATCACATAATGTATAAAATATTTTAATATGTTTTATTGATTTCCAGTCTGTTTGCCTTTTATCTTTTTCCTTGCTTTGTCACACTGGTGTAAGGGTCCGTTTTCTTGTCAATTTGGCTAGTTGACAGTCCCCACATGAGTCACTGGTCTTGGTACTGCTGTGAAGGTGTTTAGTCTGTGGCTAACATCTATAATCCTTCAAGTTTAAATAAAGGAGTTCCTGTTCTATAGCTTCCTTTTTATGGCAATGTCTTTGAATCATTTCTGTGGTGTTGCTGGACCCATGAAATGATATTGTATTCTTTGTATATTTCTTGGAAGAGCTGGGGTAGACATGGTATGATTTCCTTCTCATATATTTGTTAGATTCACCAGCCCAGCCATCTGGGATGGATGCTCTCTCTGTGGGGACATCTCCACATGTGAATTGAAAGTCTTCCTCATACCTCTTTTCAACAGCTCTGCCAAAGGTGAAGCAGTTTGTGTGCCCCATGAGCTCACTTTGCTGTTGATTTAATTCAGTCCACAGCATTGTCTCATGACCTCAGTTCTCTGAGGGACCCAAGCAAACTCAAAATTTTGTCTTGGGGTAGGATGGCTGCCGTGTGCCCTTGCTGCTCTCTGTATTCCCATCTGAGGAAGTGCAATTCTAGTGACATATCATTCTGTAAGTTTAAATTCATCAGGATAAAAGTAAGCAATGCAAATTCATTGTCTACATTGGAGGAAAAGGAAAAGAACTCTGAAAAATAAATTCAGTGAGTTTATCAGTCCTTCAATGGGGCATCATCAGATAAACCCAGAAGAAACAGAGGACTCCAGACACAGTTGCGAACTGTGACCATCTGCCCCTGTAGAGCTTAACCATCTGTCACCTCTACCATCTTCATCAGCTCAACCCTACCACTTCAAGAAACTCCAGGCCAGGAGAACAAACGTTGCAAATAACTTTATTATTCATTCCAGGATCTTCCTGAGAGACCTATCAAGTCTGCAATGAAAAGCATCAGTGGAATATTTATACAAAAGTCCCTTTGCCTGAAAATCCTTATCTAGCTGTGTCCTTTAATCCCATGCAAGATCCTTACCCAACCCTGACCAACTCCAAGTCAAAGGCTTAAGCTAGACATTGAGTTTTTATAAACTATGATCAAAATGAAAAATATAGATTCCAAAAATTGTGTGCTGGGAATATTAGTCCAATTTGTACTGCTATAGCAAAATACCTGAGACTGTTATTTATAAACAGAGGAGATGTTATTTCTTACAGTTCTGGAAGAGGGTAAATCCAAGGTCAAAGGGCACAAATCTGGTGACGGCCTTTTTTGGAGGGAGCTACTGGAACTAAACTTTGGGTCACTCAACCACTGAGCCACATCCCCAGACCTATTTTGTATTTTATTTAGAGACAGGAGTGATTCTCCTTCCTCAGCCTCCTGAGCCTATGGGATTACAGTCGTGCACCACCTGGCTGGTGAGGCCCTTCTTGATGTGTCATCACCTGGCATAAGTAGAAGAGGAGAGCTTGAGAAAACAAGGGCTCAAACTCACAGTGTTAGGAGCCTTAGTGTTTGGAATTAATACATTCTTGGGGTGCAGCCCTCATGACCTAAACACCTCCCATTAGAAGCCAACTCTCAATGTGGCTGCCTTGGGGATTGCTTTCAATATTTCTTCTTAAGGGCGCACATTCAAACCAGAGCATTGGACATACATAGCTAAAAATAAAGACAGGTTCATAAAATTATTTGAATAGAGTATACTTTAAACATTTTCCCCAGTGATATTCTTTATCTGGTACAAGATATTGCCAAATATTTTAACTTTTCAAGTTAAATATTTGAGCACTCAACTTGTAATCCAGAAATTGTCTCTCTCCATACATGAGAGAATACTTCTGTGCAATGATGATGCCTAAAGCCCAGGCAGGAAGGTGACCCTTGGGAACCCCCTACATCTGTGTCTGCTTCAGGGCCCAGGGGCATTCTGAGGCTAGAGGCTAGGAGGCTACAACCAATGGTGATCTCACCCCAGCTCCTGAGATGTTGCTTTGCTCAGCCCAGATACAGGCAGGAGGGATGGGAAGCAGTTGGAGCTTAGGGGTGTCGCTCACCCTAATCTGTCCTAAAATGTAATGATGCAGATTCTCTCATTGCTACAGTCACTGCCCAAGGAGC